GGAATGGTTCACAAAATCCACGGTTCGGTTCGGTTTGGTTCACGGTTTTGTGGTCACGGTTTTCGGTTCGGTTCGGTATATGTTTATTGTTACACCGAAAAATAAAAAAAATCATAAAAATTTATGAAAATTTTTTTTAAGGAAAAAATCCCAAAAAATGTATGAATTGTAATTATTTTTAATGATTCGCGGAAACCCTGGATTATTTCCGCATGTTTTGCTGCTTTGAATTTAATCATCTCGCGCATGCTCTCTACCATCTCCAAGGAACTCAGAGGTGAGCGGACGGGAACCACAGTGGAGGTTGTAGGCTTTGCTTTGTGCAGCCGGTCTGGAGCGCAGTGGGGCGGAGCGCTGACGGAGTATGTGGGATTTCGGGGTTAGCATGACATGTTGGTCATGTTGCTGTTAGTATAAACAAAATGTTTTGCACAATGCTTGCATACTGTTTTTATCCACAACTTTCTTTCCGCCGTCATCGTAGGTCACTCTAAATGCAAAGTGGTCCCATACAGCAGACCTATAAAGTGCTGCTGGCGCGTCTTCCAACTACTGTTCTTTCCCACTCGCCATACCGACACAATTCTCCACAATAACTGATCTTTTTCTGCTACACCCGGCTAAGCTGCTTCGCTTCTTCTTCTTGTTTACTACTGGTGGTTGGCTTTGGTCGCAGTACCGCCACCTTCTGCTCTGGAGTGTAAACGCTTCGCCTATGAGAAAAAGGAGCAGCGCATGAACCGAACGCAACACACGCGAACTGAACCGAGACAGGCGAAACCAACGGTTGGGACAGTCCATCCCTATATATATATATATATATATATATATATATATATATATATATATATATATATATATATATATATATATACATTTGGATGTCAATTTCTAATGATGGGTGTCAAGGGGTTATTATCACCACTTTCACATTTTAACAAAAGAAACAACCATATTATTCAAATATGAAATGCAACAAGCACAGGTATAACCGAGACAAAGATTAGCGTGAGCAAGAATGCTCACGCTAATCAAGATCAATTAAGCCCAGTTAAGAGAACCGCAATCCTTTACCTCATAACCACAGCTCTGAAACATTTACAGGAGCCGTTCAAATTCAATATGCATCTAATTAACAGATAAAATGGAGCTTAAGCGTGAAAATAAAATATATATAACACTCACAAGAGGTGCTGATTATTTAAAAAAAAAAATCCTTCTTCCTGTCTTTGTGCAGGAAGTCTTAGTATCTCCATTAAGGATCAGCCATTGAGGCCAGAAGAACTTTTAACTTTTAATCTAAAATGCAGATTGTCGTTAGCTTAACTTGGCTGTAAATATTTTGCTCTAACTGACCAATCAGAGGACAGAAAATGCTGACAAATGTGTGGGCCCTCTAGCTGACCCCAAATCTGAAATCTGATTGGTTGAAGAAAATGCTCCTCACTAATATTGTTAGGAAACATGAGCCAGGACTGCTGATTCTGAAGAACCTGGTCAGATTTGATTGACATAGCAACGCTCTAAGGCTGAAATCTGATTGGACAAAAAATATAGAGACTACATAAATGTAATGAAAACAGCTCAGTAATCAAGAGAAACGCTACAAAATTAGGAGAATTAATTGTTTCGAATAAATTAATAGAGCTTGAAAGAAGAAAATTAAAGTTTAGGTTGAGAATGTATGTTAGTGTTTCTGATTGATTTTAGGCCAGCAGAGAAGGCTTTGAAGGCCATCACAGCCCACCACTGGTCGTTACTATGCAGTTGTTTATCTCTTCTGTAATGTCAGCGCGCTGTCATGAGGTGGGATATCCAGAATGTATAAGGTGACGTAATGCTATCTATTTTATTTTCTTTTGAATAAATACTGGACTTTTCAGAATGTTTTTAACCCTTGGTTACAGTAAAAAAAAAGAAGCATTTTTTAAAAGTGTAGATCTCTGATTTGTAGAAAGACGGATAGCAGGCAAGAAGTCAGCTTCACAGCGTTAAAGGTAAGAAAACTCTCTCTTTTGAGGCTGATGCTATAAAGATTTAATTAGGGAACCACAAGGTAGAGGAAATGAAACTAATTAAAAACATTTATTATGAAGAGCAACTAACTGTTGGTTTTCATGATATGTTTATTTGTGTAATAACTTATTTGACTGTTTTTTGTGTATTGGTACAGTTATAATTTGAGGATAATGTGTTGACTTATCTAAAGTGTTCTTCTTTAAGCAGGATAGTCAAAAAAGAAAGAGAAAACACCGACATACACATCCAAGCAATGTCTCAAGCTCCAGTAAGTCATTCTGAGTTTACATTTTTCTTATGAAGAACCATAGTTTTGGTCCACATTAGGCATCAAAAAGGATTTACATATATTCAGTGGTGCCAACTAATTGATGGATTTTTTTGTTTTTGTTCTCTTACAGATGGATATCAGTAATGTGGATGAACAATTTTGTGAAGGTCAGCAGCATGTGGAGAACAGAGACCTGGATCAGCTGAATATCTCTGAGAAACCAGTACATTGCTGTGACCACTGTGGAAAGGGTTTTAAGAGATCTCAATGTCTGAAAAGACACCTGCTTATCCACACCGGCGAAAAGCCTTTCCTCTGCCATCTGTGTGGGAAGCAATTCGGGCAAAGTGGACATTTGAATCGCCATTTGTCCATTCACAGCGGCGTAAAGCCTTTCCTCTGCCTTCACTGTGGGAAGCAATTCCAGCTGAAAGGAGATTTGAATCGCCATATATACATTCACACCGGCGAGAAGCCTTTCGTCTGCCCTCAGTGTGGGAAGCAATTCAGGCAGAGTGGACATTTGAATCGCCATTTGTCCATTCACAGCAGCGTAAAGCCTTTCCTCTGCCTTCACTGTGGGAAGCAATTCCAGCTGAAAGGAGATTTGAATCGCCATATATACATTCACACCGGCGAGAAGCCTTTCGTCTGCCCTCAGTGTGGGAAGCAATTCAGGCAGAGTGGACATTTGAATCGCCATTTGTCCATTCACAGCAGCGTAAAGCCTTTCCTCTGCCTTCACTGTGGGAAGCAATTCCAGCTGAAAGGAGATTTGAATCGCCATATATACATTCACACCGGCGAGAAGCCTTTCGTCTGCCATCTGTGTCGGAAGCATTTCAGGCAGAGTGGACATTTGAATCGCCATTTGTCCATTCACCATGGCGAGAAGCCTTTCGTCTGCCATCAGTGTGGGAAAAGCTTTGGTCGTAGATCTTCTCTGAAAACCCATCTACATATCCACACCAGAGTCCCTACATGTGCAGGAGATGTGGAAAAAGCTTCAGACCATTGAAATCTGTGCAACATCATCTGGATATTGACACAAGAGAAGAAAATCCTACCATAGCAGACGCCTCACTTTCTGTTTGGTTCTCAGGCTTCTCCTTATCTGAGACCAAAGCTTAACATCTTTAATAAAATTCACTTGCATTCAAAGATTTTTATATTTCTTCCCCTTGCAGCTATAGTTCTGATAAAAACTTTAAAATGAGTACATATTCCTCCATTTTTAGCTTCCTTTTAATGGCTTCCAGTTAAATCCAGAATTACAATTACCAGATAGTGGAAGACCCAGATTCAACCAGAGCAAGAGACGTTTAAATAGTTTATTGGAATGAAACTGGCGCTGGTTGGGAGAGATTCATCTGCAACGCAGAATACAGGTCAGAGATCCAAAAGACACTAAGACAGGTCCGATAGGGGTCAGGCAGGTTTACAGGAATACTCGTAATAATCTGACACTAGTCACTGGTCTGAGAGCTGGTTATACAGTTAGGTAAGAGGGAAAATCTGATGGAGGCTGACCGGAAACAGGGCAGAGCTGACAGGTGTGTTGAATCCTGAATCAAACCAGCACTCATGCCAGAAATCATGACAAGAATAGAATTCAAAATCCTCCTTCTCACCTATAAAGCCCTAAACAACCAAGTTCCATCTTATATTAGAGATCTGATTGTTTCTGGTGTTCCAAACACTCACTTCTCTCTCAATCTGCAGTGATTCCTAGAATTTCTAAATGTAGAATGGGAGGCAAAGAATGGCCAAAATGCCATAAAGATATGGGAGATGTGGAGTGGATGGCAGAGAGTGGATGGCAGAGACCACATAAATGTAATGGAAGCAGCTCAGTAATCAAGAGAAACGTTACAAAATTAAGAGAATTAACTGTTTCGGATAAATTATAGAGCTGGAAAGAAGAAAATTAAAGTTTAGGTTGAGAATGTATGTTAATGTTTCTGATTGATTTTAGGCCAGCGGAGAAGGCTTTGAAGGCCCTCACAGCCCACCACTGCTAGCAGGTGGAAAAATGATTGAAAGATTGAGGATGATGCTGTTTGTTATATTTTTTCACTCTTGAAAAAAAAAGGTTTTCTGAGGTTTATTTTGCAGTTTCATGTTTGTTAGTTGTTTTAATTAATTAGATGAATACATTTAACATTTCTTATAAACTGTGTTAGAGACTTATTCAAAAAAGATGAGTTCATACTGGAGGTCTTTGTCCATGACCATATAGGGACCGTTTTAGTTATTGAAAATGGCTTATTTTGTGTTATTGAAGATGTTTCATTTCATTTATTGCTGTTTTGGGTTTTGCAAACACTGTGAATATCATTAGACATATCTGTTTTGTGGATTAGACACCAACACAGCAGGGAGGGGGTGGCACAAAAAAACTTCACAAAATGAAAGTGGCCAAAGTCTTTCATTTCAAAACTGAACCGGTAAAAAGTATCATCCAGACACTGAGCACGAAAACCAAAACGAAAGGAAATGAGACATCAGGAACACCACTGATGACAAATAAAGAGCAGCTGGAGGGACAACAGCCAAGGAAAAGAAGCATTCATGACAAGATCAACAGCGGCACCAGCATGTAGAACAGACCCACAAAGCTGTGAAAAGCACAGGTCGCGTGTGAACAGTAACAAAGGGCGACGGCAGAGAGGGTGGCCCTCTGTCAGCTTTTTAAAATGTCCCTACTGACCTTTTTACCATCATCATCTTCATCATCATCATCTTCTTCACTCTCAGCTTCCACGTCTGTTAAGATTAAATAAGTCGGCATCATCTCTGTGTCGCATCTCATTTATACAGAAGAAGCAGAATGAAACATGACTCTGTGGGAGTAAGGAGGCTGCAGGCAGAGTTGTGCTATCTTACTGCAGAGACTGAACCTCTATGGGTTCATTAATCGGCACAGAGCCCCCACTGAACATTATTTCTACTAGAAAATAGTCAAAATGCCTTGAAAAAGTCTTCATACCCTTCGTACTTTGTAACATTTGTTATTTGAACCCTCACCATATCACACCAGGATAAATCAGACTTAACCCACTGTTGTAAATATAGTAAAAATGGGAAAAATCTGATGAGAATAGGAACCTCTTTATTGTGATCCTTCTAAATGAAATCCAGTTAATGAGCACAGCAAGTAGGTATGTATGGCACAAATGCAAACATACCAAGACACCGGACATCCACCTGCACTGACAGGCTGTCTGACACGAGTGTTAGTCAGAGAGGCAACCAGTAGGTCAGAAATCCACTGGTCCGAAGTGACAATCCGTCAACGTATCAGTTATGTGCATTACTTGTATGGGGTGAATTTTGTTCCATTATTGTTAAAAGTTTTTGTGAGTGGAAAAAAAACAAACTATCCAGCTATGAAATATCTTAATACAAAAAAGGTTTTAAGGGTTACTTAGATTTTTTTCCCTAAACATGTTTTTGTTCACATATAATATTTTCAAATTGTAATTTTGAAATTTTGTTGTTTTTCATATTGAGTTCTACAAATTGCATTTTACAGATCACGTTCTCTTCACTTTAAGGCCAAATCAAACATTTGGTCTTGACCATAAAAATGTTGTTGGTAACGTCCAGCAGATCAATAGAAAAGTTTTTTGCTCCTCGCTCCAGGGGAAAGCCCGCCCCCAGCTGTAAAAATAATGTGATGCGTAAAATGCAATTTGAAAACAATTCAATCTGTAAATCTGAAAAAAATAAAAATAAAAACAGAAACTGAATTTGAAAATATAAAATCTGTAAAAAAAATACATATGAAAAACTAAATCTGAGGAAACAGATCAAGTAACTTAAAGGAAAAGTCATATTCAGAATTCAAACTTCTGAAAGTACTTTAAATATGAAATTATTACATACTGTTCAATAAATTATACGTTTTTAATTCAGAGTAATTTTCATTTGAATGTGCTTCATTGGAGGCAACCATGTTTGTTAAAGAACACTACTGCCACCTACTGGTTTGTGACGTCACGGTGCGGTATCGGCTGTTGATCAAGTCCCAGTGCTGTATCTGGTGTTTGTCACAACGCGCTATTATCCAAGTCATCTTGAAAACATTCTTTTTCCAAATGTTGGCTACATATTACGGGTTTTTTCTCTGGCCAGAAGTTCCATGGTAAATCCTCCCTCTTCAAGTTGGCGATCCAACGACCAACCCGTCCGTGGAGGATCAAGAATCAGAAAGGTGGAATAACTTTTTTTTTACTTTTACCCGATGTATTCCAGCATCCAGCTGCCATGCACGTGGGCATTGTCAGTTTCACTATAGCTCTGGTGAATTTCAATGGTGAAGTCCTCAATAATTGTTGTTGATTGCAGATGTGTCTAGTAGTTCCCATTGATTTTGCTTGTAAAGCGGGGAGAATGGCGCTAGGCTTACCACACCGTGACGTCACTGCTGGAAGATGGCAGGAGGGAGGGGTTACTATACTTGGGCAAAAATGGCCGCTCCCTGACTCAGTGATCGCCATGAAAATAATTATTACTTTTTTTTTATTGATTAACGCAAAATTCATTAAATTACTGCAAACCTATTAGTTAGGTATTAGTTATAAGTTATAATGATCCACTGATCATTCCTTGCTTACTGGACTTTTCCCTTTAAACCTTTTTTGATTAGGAACTTCAAGTTTCATTTCAGAATGACATTTTTTTTTTCCAATTTCCATTTAAAAATCACAACCTTTGCTTCCAACACTAATGGAACACAATTAAGTGAATAGAGTGACAGAAAAAATAAACAAAGAAAACGTCTCCAAAATGCCAACTTTTAAGGAAAAATTAAAAATATGTGGGTGGATAAGACATTGGTTTGAACAGTAGTTGCAGCTTCATCATACAAGTAAAAAATGGAAGATTGTAAAAGGTAACCTGTTCTAGGCCATCAAAGTATCAGATAGAAAATCACGTGTCACCATAGCTCTGAAAAGGCCAGATATTAGATTTTTTTTTCTTCCAAATTTTGTCAATTTTTCTATATCTGTCATGACAAATATCAGAGTCACAAGTACAGAGCAACAAAATGTACACTCTGCTTTTAACCCATCCCCTTGGGGAGCAGTGGACTAGCCATTGTACAGCACAGGGTGGAATTAAGGGCCTTGCTCAGGACCTAGAGTGGCAGTCAGTGGGACTTGAAATCAGAACCTCCGAGACCCAAGCGCAGTGCTCTTAGCAATAGGCCACGACTCCCCTTTGTCATCCAGGCTGACTCAGTGACATGCATTGAAGTTACTAGTAAGAAAAAAAATATTTCCAAAAAGGCAAGTCAATACCTTTTTAAAGGCCTTAGCCCTGCAAAACCTGAGAGAAAGCTCAACTGTTTTACTACAGCTGTCAACTTTTAACCAAAAACCAACCAAATGTCTGCAGGCTTTATGAAGACTCAAGGAAAACCAGAAAGATCTGCAAAAAGCCATTTATTTTAGATTTTAAGAAAGAAAACTTGATCTGCCTTTCAAACCAAGCTGGGATCTTCAGTCCCAGACCTGTTTTCAGGATCTAGATACATGTCAATACGGCTTTTAATTTCCTTCTGCACAACCCCTTAATTGGCGTTCTGCTCTTCTGATCTAATCTGGGATGTCTGGCTCATTACTGAGGCCTCCCTGATGAGATGCAGGGTTATAAATGTAAAGTCATGAGGGCCACTCAGGCTAAAGGTCAGGATAAACACACATGAGCCCCCTGTGCAAGCAGCTCTTCATTAGCAGAAAAGAAAAATGAAATCGTCTCTCACTTCTAACGGCAGCTCCATCTCTGAACCTTTTCAAGTGACACCGCTGACTCATATTTGCATCTGCTGAATGTTGAAAACAACTCCACAGATTGGTACAAAAAGCATTTTAATTTGAATCCTGAAGGCTCTGATATTTTGTGTCCTCCTGCAATCCAAAAGTAAGTGATTTTCATTACCCCCAACCCCCCCCCCACTGACTGTGGCAGCTGAGCCCGTTTCATGTGGATTTCTGCGGCTATTGTCTTTGTGTCATACCTCCTGTGTTGTTGCTAGGAGACACTGGTTCGTTGCTCTGATTGGCAGGCTGGTCAATTAGCCTCTTGGTGTCTGTGGTATTGGCGGGTTTGTGAGATTTCTTGTTTTTGATGAGAATTTTGCCCAACAGCTCCTGAGGACTGGGCAGGGGGGTGCCAGCCTCCAGCTGCAGATACCAGAGAGTTGGAGGGGTGGGGTGGGGGGTGGGGGGAGAGACAGCATTTAATGCAGCTTACTTTAAAGACCACAGCATGTAATGATGCAGCAATTAGTATTTCCCTACAGGGTATTTGTCCAGAGGATCAATCAGCAGCGCTTCTCCAAAAATAGAGCGACAATATTCGGCCATTTTCGCCTGCTGCTTCAAGCTGAAAAGCACAAGAGATATTTACATATTTTGTGTCAACAAAGAGACATTTCATACATACAGGTAAACAACACTCACCGGCCACTTAGTGCACCTGAAAAAAACTATCTATTAGCCAATCACATGGTAGTAACTAGATTCCATTTGGCATTTGTTTATTGGGAAGATGACTTGTTAAATTCAAATTTTTAATCAAGCTTTAAAGATTAAGTGACTTAGAAGTTTGCTGGTCAGAATGCTTCAGAAATAGTTGAATTACCTAGATTTTCCTGCACAACCATCACCCATTTACACATAATGTTCTCATAATGTTCTCATAATGTTCTCAAGTATCTCACTTCGTTAGGTAGATGAAAACACCTAAATGCTGTCAGAGGTCTAAGGGAAATGGTCAGAAGGGTTCAAGACACCAAAAAATACAAACCAGTGTCCCAACATCAATGAACACCAAGACCCACTTCTGTCAGCTGAAAACAAGAAGTTACAAATTCCTGCAGGCTGAATACAACCAGACAAAACAAAGACTGGACAACCGTTGCCTGGTCCTTTTAGATTTTAGCTTAGTCTGGATATTGCGGTCAGAAACATCTCGGGAAGCTTTAAGTCTTTCAGTACCAAAGTAAATTTTGCACCGTTAAAGTAACAATTTAAGGGTTAATTTAACACCAATCCAAGTGCAGTTAAGGGTTAAATATGCTCTGTCAAAGTACATTGACTCTTTTAGAGTGATTACAAAAAACAACTGTAGTAAGAAATACACTATGTAGAGAGTTAATTTAACACTACTTCAGAGTTGGACAAAATGCACTGTGATTGGTGTTACATTTAACACATAATCTTACTTTAACACTGCAAAATGTACTGTGTTTATCAATGCTAATTCAACCATTTTCTACATTTGGATCTATATGAACATTTGTATTTCTTTTATATTAAATCAAAGTAAAAAAAAAATCAGCATCACTTCATGTCCTCTTGACATTAAAATATTGAACTTGTCTAAAGTCATTCCGAAATCCATGAGAAAGGTGTAGTTTTTCACCAGTTAGTATCAATGCTGATAGTTCACCATCACATGTTCCTTCATTTAGTGCTGGTGTTAAACACATAATTGTTGCACATTGTTGGAGGGTTGATCCACCATCAATCATAACCATAACCAAAAATCAACAATTTTTTCAATTAACATCTTTCGCTATCTGTGTAAAGTTAGTTAACTCCCTGCCAGACTTCCTGAGTACCGTGGCGGACCTCATCCTTGGTTTCACGACACATTACCTCTCTCTTCTGAATGGTGGACCGGGTTATAAACCTATTTGTAACCTGATAACGAGGTCCCTGTATCCAAGTGGCAAACATCTCTCATTGTAAATGGCTTGTACTTACAGAAATCTTTATTGAGTTCAAGGATCCCAAATCCCTTCACACTACATTCACTCAGTCAAGTGCTTATAATTGTTAGCTACATTTCTCCACAGCATAATGCCAAAAATCAGTGCCACCAGGCCCCCAGACCACCAAGGCAGGGGCAAAATGCTCAAACTGGCAACGCACCAGTTACAGGCCAATGCCTTACATCCCGAGCCAACATCTAAGGTAACTGCCTGACTGCCTCATTGAATCCCTGCCAAAAACAATTAAAATACACAAAATACACTGTATTGGCAAACTCGCTTTAAAACTTAATAGACATTTAATTCCTAATCCGCTGCGTTTAATGGTTTGGTTCGCCTTAGCATCTGCAACAAGTTCAGTTCTTTTAGGAACATGGTCTATAATGGTAAGGAGTGTGTTTATGGGTATATTCTGATGGTCTCCCAAAACCTCGTCTTTAAAGGCATAAAGCAGGGGTAAGCAATCCTTCAACTTTTAGATATATCCTTGGTCCAACACTTGAATCAAATGATTAGATGACTAAAATGACTTTGGAGATATTAACTGCATACTGAGAGTTAATTCTGTAATTTTATTCATGTACATCATTGGGACAAATCTGAATTTTGGAGGATACCGAAGATCTGAGTTGTTTGGTCTCAGTTGAGGCCACCTTAGTCCCTCCTCACCAAACTCCTTCACCCATGTCTTTGTATGGCTTCGATCAATCAATGAAACTCCATGGAAATCTGGGACTAGCAAGGTGTGCCAGAGCAATTGGCAGGTGAGTGTTTGTATAAATGAGTGAAGTTCTTACGAGTCCACATGGTTTTCAAATGACAGGATGACAGGAAAAGGTGAAGTCTTGAAGGCACATTCTGCAATGGCTTCAATCACCTCCTACAAAAAATAAAAAGTACCGTAGTTAAATGGTTGGTTTGAAAAATCTGAAACATGATGGTTTGCTTTTCAACCGTTCAAACTCCAGGGGGAATTAGTTGGGAAAACAGATTTAAGACTTAAAGAAATTAATGGTGCTTTCTAACTAACAACAGTTATATTGTAGTATGTGAGCCTCATAAGTCTGTATTTAGAAATAGAAATGCATTTTTTTCACGCATGTTTTTTCTCCCACACTGTTTACATTTGATCACTGCAGCACTTTATTGATTGGAAATGTTCATTTACTGTCTGGAAAGCTGTACTAAACAAAATGTTGTATTATATACACTATTTTATATTGTATACAAAATAACTGTAAAAGTTGTTTAAGTCTAAGGCTTAATGACAGTGTTGTAATCAGACGCATTTACAGGATAGTTTGGAAATTCATTGCTTGAAGGGTGGATGTTCCCTTGTGTTGATAGATGCCAGATATGATTGAAAATGGCCTTTATAAGATCTGAATCAGTGGACTTCAGAAAAATACGCTTTGGGATTTTGATCCCAACCGGCTTTGGAGCAGTGCCAGCAACCAGAGATTAGACCGAGGCTCAGTGACATCCATACTGTAGCCAACAAGCTGTAAGAGGCAACGCGATATTTTACCATATGGCAAAACTAGTGCAGCTTATTTAAAGTCACAGGGAAGCGGCTGTTCCAACCGTTGCATTTCCAAATTCTCCTAAGTGGTGCCCGACTTTACGCGAGTGAATGTGATTGGTCGTTTATTAAGGGGGCAGGATTATTGTGGCAGAAGATTTGCAAGCAAGTTAGATTATGGCCGGTTTCTCGGAAGCATCTTGCTAACCAGTTAGCAACTTAGTGCTAGTAGGTTCCCAATGGGAAATTCCATTTAAACCAAGTAGCACTAAATTGGTGACTTAGAAACAACGCTGTCAAGGAACGCTATGGACAGAGGAAACATGCAAGAGGAGGAGAGTTTAGTATCGGAGGTCGTGGATGAGTCGCCTCCGTCATCCATTTTTTATTTAGAGGAGGAAAGCGGGACGAAGATGTTGTGGAAGAGGACGCCAGGGCGGCAGAAGCTTGGTTTGGTGTAGAAGGCTTCCAGCCGTACATGTTTGAGCCCTTGCCTCGCAACGCTGCCAGTTCTGTTAGCTCTACGCCTGCTGAAGACACAGACGTCCATCCCCGTGAACACTGGGACGGAACTCAATGGGAAAGGAAATGATTCTGATTTCAATTATTGCGTATATTAGCTGCGACATATGAATCAAGATGCTATGACCGAAAAAATTTGATTGACAGATGACCGTTGATATATGATTATATGATTAATTTAGGTGTTCAGGCTGACGTTTATCTAACTGGCCTGCATAAGGTAACACGGATTTTAAGACGAAATATTTTTTAATATAGAAATTTTCTAACTTTTCAAACTTTTGGGACAATATTGTCTGATAAAGAGTACATTTATATACAAGTTTAAGCCAGAATGATTTGACATTTAAATATGATTTCCCTATGACTTTAAATTGCTTGATTTCTTGGCAAAAGAATCTAAATTCTGCTTTAGAAAAGCCTTTATACATCTCAAACTTCTTTAAATATTGTCATGTTAAATCCAATTACCTAAATGTCTCTATTATGATCTTATTTAGAAGACAGACCAGCACTAAGTAACATATAATAGTGAAAGTAAAGGAGATTAAGACATGGTTTTCCAAAGCTTTTACTAATAGAAGTGTAAAGAATCTTGCATCTATTTATGGTCAGTGTTAAAGTGTGCAAGGTGCACAAAATGAGGGTGTGCAATGTTGACTGTTGAATCAAGTGTTTATATTTACAGTCAGGACCACATTAAGTCGATTCTGCATCCTTTTTACCACAAAGATATATCGGCAGGAATTATACATACATTTATCACTCATTGTGTGGAACAATAGAAAAGGTTTGATCAGTGAATTTATTGAAACAGAGCAGTCAACAAGACTGCATATGAAAACAATTGAACCATGTGCTATTAACATGTGGGTTACATAAACTTTAAACAGAAAGAGATTAAAGAGGAATGTTGCTATCAGCATGTTTATATCGAAATTTCAAATGCAGGCCAATATATTTTGTAATAGTTTTTTAATATCAGACCAATTTCCGATATCTGATTGGGATATCCCTGTAATTTAGCTACATTTCTAAAGGCCTGATCTAAAAAAGGTCTGCCTGTCCTAAAATAGATGCAAACATGTTTTTACAATCGGAGCAGATCTTTAAGGAAGTACCCACCTATCTGCCTTGGCAATTCTGCAGACAGCATGTGCTAATCTTTTTTTGTTACTTCATCAATATGCAGATTATATTCTAATGAACCAACAGTGTAAATTCATGGGTTGAGGACATATTTTCCAAAGAAATAAAAACTCAACTGCAGCAGCAGTTTGTGCATCTTTTTTTGTTTTTAATACATTTCAATTATTTTTATATTAAATTTTTGTTTTTTATCATTTTAAGTTTTTAGTTTTGTTCTTAGCCATTAGGGATAGACGGCCTATGTACATAATTATAATAAGGTCATTTTTAAAAATCTTTTTATGTTCAACTTCATGGCTTAGAACATCATCTTTTAATACTGCTTTTAAACAGCCTGTAGAGTACACAGTCTGTCCATTGTAATATGCACAACCAAACTGGTTTGCACATCTTAGCATTTGTGCAGGAATATTTGAAGATCCCCCAAGAGGTGCACCTATTGCCCCCTATTCTGAATCTTTGAAGATCAGGCGCTATGTATAGATTTTAAAGCATTTGTTGTAATACCATTCCTCTGTGATGAAGCAGAACGTGCTGCAGTGTGAACACATGACACTGGTTTTCCAGCAATTTCTAGTTAATGGTAGACATGGACCTTTTTTGTCTATTGATTGAACCTTAAGGCACAGTTTTTCAGTTTGAGAGGAAATCAGGTCAAAGTTGGATATAGTTGGGTGTTCCAAGAGACCAAAAATACCCAACACTGTTCCTAATCTCTTACTTCATAATTGGTGATATTTATTTTAATATGCCCTAAAAGTCATGTAATGAGTTTTTTAGTCAAGCTGCATTTAATGGATGCACAGAAATATGAAAACATAGTAAAGATTGCATTTCAAATGTAGAATTCAGAGAGTTTAAAAGAACGGCTGACACACCTTAAAGGAGATTTCAGACGTCATGGTGAACCCGTGAGTAATGACCGGCTCCTCCTCTGCAGTTCGTCCTTTCCACACGTCTAACTCCACGCAGCGGCAGCCTGCCAGTAAAACCTGCCGGTACATCTCGACTGAGGAGCTTCCGGCCAGCTGGCCCGCTATGATACATGACAGGATTTAAAATGTAAACAAAACCGACGGCTTGTAACCTGGCTTGTCATGGACCTACAGTAAGCATCCAACCAGGCCTGCAGTCTGCCTTGTGTCTTCTCCTTCCCCCATCTTTTTTCTTTTTTGACATTCATGATATTTTTGGGACTACTTCCATGCTTCATGGGGGTGCAAACGGATGATCACATGGACACATAAAGTTTCTTCCTGTTCTACTTATAGTTGTTCTGTTCTGATTGTAGATTTCTGGTTTCCTTAGTTACCCCCAAACTCTTTTTTTTGTCCATTTTCTCTTTCCAATATTTTTTTTTAAGGCAGCGAATCCCACCATATTATCTGCTCAGACATCATCAAAGGGCGAGACCCAAACATCTTTCAGGAAAATTGTTTTATTTTATTATTATGTGTTTAATTAAATTATTAGAAATCAACATTAAGTTTGTAAATTCACAAACTATGATTGTCAGAGAATCTTATAAAAATGGGTGCGTTTTGGTGGGAATAAAAACATGGTGGGGGTTTAATTTCTAAAAGCTTAAAAGCAATCATAAACGATGGGCTGGAGTTTGTGACCTCTTCCATTGGTTGATTGACCACTTTGCTGTTTCTATAACTTGTGTACATTTTCTAAAATTTGGCCAATTTAATGTTAAGCAAGAAAACTGTTTTTCAGAAACATTTTTTCCCAATTTTTTTTTTCATATTTTTGTTTTTCAATTTATCTTTTATTATTTCATTTCAATTGTTTTTATCGATTTTTTTATTTTCAAATATTTTTCCAAATATTCCCTTTTTCAGATTCAGTTTACAAAATTGCATTATTTTTAAGTTGAGTTTTATTACATTTTCTTAACTTTTACCCAAATACAAATGCTCTAGTCTGATCAGCCAGGCTGAATTACGCTCTGCCGTTGATTCCAGCCAGACCTGGCTGGACAGATCACAACGACGGGGCGGGGCTTTATGATTTGTGACCCTTTGCACATGAATTACTCTTTTTCTGCGCTTTTCTGACAGCATAATATCAAGACGGTGAAACACCCCCAAACACCAGACGTCATTTAGACTTTTTTTTTTAATGCAAAACTGACCGTTCGCTCATAGTCTTGACTTAGTCTCGAAATTGTTGTTGAAAATTGGGCTGTTTGTCCAGTCTGATTTTGTCCCACTTTTGTCCAATAATAGACATTGAAAACTGGGTTTTCTACATCTTTTCAACGATCTGAAAACCACGGCTTTTCACCTTTCACTCTTCAACCAAATGTAGATGTCGTCTTTTAAACCAATTTTTGCTCGTAGGGAGAGAACAAACCTTATATCCTCAGATTTCTTTGAGGCAAAACCAACAAAAATTGTTCCCTGGAGAGTTTCTTCATGGCTTGTTATGTGACACGGACAACAAAATAAAACAAATATAGCGTGTTGCTTTGAGTTTTTGCATCACATCTGTAGTAACCTGATTTGTTCTAACCTGAAGACACTGACCCTGCTAGTCCCACCTTTAAAATCCAGCTCTACCAGCTTTTACCCAAACTGATATGGCTGATACATCATATCGGTCGCTAAGAGCTCAGCAAGGCCTGCAACTTACTTATTAATACCCAGTTAAAAAGTAAGTTGCATTACAACATTAACCAATGTAATACATATTTCTCATCGTTTATGTCGGGTTTGAAATGTGGGATGTTAAACTCCTACCTGTGAGGTATGTATTATGTGACGAGTTGATGAAATAGTGAGACAACGGGAAGTTCATGTCCTCGGACTGATCCAGTTTCTCCGGAGGAATGACTCTGTTCTCGTCGCTCGACAGATAACTGGAAAAAGCCTGGAGAGAGATAACGCCTGAAGACAACATGCATACAAAAACACAATATCACACAACAAAAGTGAGAAACATCCTCCAATAAATTGATCTACATTTAGAATGATCTTATGTTAATTCAACAAATGAATAAAAATGAGCTGATTACTATAATTATGGTGTATAAGACATAAAGAAAAAGACCTGAACAAAAAATTATTTAATAACAATATTGAAATGCATAACCCAGCTTTTTATATTGTTATGATGCTACCATTCTCCTTGGGCTTTAGCACCTATATTGCTTAAAACTATATCAGGCGTGGGTGTCATGATTTTGGCACTGATGACTGGCTCGATTGCTCATTTCCTTCACCTGTTACACCTGTTCCTGTTTTCTATTTAAGCTGTTTCTCAGCCATCAGTGCCAAATTATTTTTAGGTGTCTAAGTGGACCATCCTTTTGAGTTTTCCCCCAATTTAGTGGTTGTTTCCTTTTTGGCCTTGTTCCCTCCTTCCTTACCCCTTCTCCCGCCCTGTTTGGGTTGTTTTTTGGTTTTTGGACTCAAGCCTTCTGTTCTGCCCCCTCCATCCCCCTGTTAGGCTTATTTTTTAGCTTGGTGTGTTTTTCTTTTTTGTTTTTTGAGCCCAAAAGGGCGTCTGAAATGAGCCCTTAAGGGGGAGGTTCTGTCATAATTTTGGCGCTGATAACTGGATTCATTGCTCATTTACACTCACCGGCCACTTTATTAGGTACACCTGTCCAACTGCTGGTTAACACTTAATTTCTAAGCAGCCAATCACATGGCGGCAACTCGGTGCATTTAGGCATGTAGACATGGTCAAGACAATCTCCTGCAGTTCAAAGCGAGCATCAGTATGGGGAAGAAAGGTGATTTGAGTGACTTTGAACGTGGCATGATTGTTGGTGCCAGAAGGGCTGGTCTGAGTATTTCAGAAACTGCTGATCTACTGGGATTTTCACGCACAACCATCTCTAGGGTTTACAGAGAATGGTCCGAAAAAGAAAAAACATCCAGTGAGCGGCAGTTCTGTGGGCGGAAATGCCTTGTTGATGCCAGAGGTCAGAGGAGAATGGCCAGACTGGTTCGAGCTGATAGAAGGGCAACAGTGACTCAAATAACCAGCCGTTACAACCAAGGTGGGCAGAAGAGCATCTCTGAACGCACAGTACGTCGAACTTTGAGGCAGATGGGCTACAGCAGCAGAAGACCACACCGGGTGCCACTCCTTTCAGCTAAGAACAGGAAACTGAGGCTACAATTTGCACAAGCTCATCGAAATTGGACAATAGAAGATTAGAAAAACGTTGCCTGGTCTGATGAGTCTCGATTTTCTGCTGCGACATTCGGATGGTAGGGTCAGAATTTGGCGTCTACAACATGAAAGCATGGATCCATCCTGCCTTGTATCAACGGTTCAGGCTGGTGGTGGTGGTGTCATGGTGTGGGGAATATTTTCTTGGCACTCTTTGGGCCCCTTGGTACCAATTGAGCATCGTTGCAACGCCACAGCCTACCTGAGTATTGTTGCTGACCATGTCCATCCCTTTATGACCACAATGTACCCAACTTCTGATGGCTACTTTCAGCAGGATAATGCGCCATGTCATAAAGCTGGAATCATCTCAGACTGGTTTCTTGAACTTGACAATGAGTTCACTGTACTCAAATGGCCTCCACAGTCACCAGATCTCAATCCAATAGAGCATCTTTGGGATGTGGTGGAACGGGAGATTGGCATCATGGATGTGCAGCCGACATATCTGCGGCAACTGTGTGATGCCATCATGTCAATATGGACCAAACTCCCTGAGGAATGCTTCCAGCACCTTGTTGAATCTATGCCACGAAGAATTGAGGCAGTTCTGAAGGCAAAAGGGGGTCCAACCCGTTACTAGCAGGGGGTACCTAATAAAGTGGCCGGTGAGTGTAATTCACCTGTCTAGCTCTGCTCTGTTCCTCATTACTCATCAGATTCACCTGTTCCAGTTTCCTATTTAATCTGCCTGTTTCCCAACCATCTGTGCCAGATTATTCTTGAGCCTTTGGTGTTGAGAGTTCTCTAGCATAACTATAGTGTTCTGATTGCCTGATCCTGATCTTTTTCTATATTTGGAACTTTGAGCCTGCTTGCCCCTATCTGCTCTGTTGCCCGCCTTTCTTCGGACTCCTGTCAGATTCTTCCGGGGACTGAACCTTGACCTGCCTCTTGACTTCGCTCTGTGGATTAATTTTTTTTTCCTTTCTCAGCTAGGGTCTGATCTCCTGTCAACTCTGCGTCCTTCTAGGCTTCTGGGTCTGGAACTGTCTGGGACCGTCCGCTGTGTCTGTTCAGTTGACCGACTGGAATCCTCCTCTTTCTCTGGGTACGGACTGTACTGTCAAACCGGGTTAGTGACTTGTTCATTCATAATCATCCTCCGTCAGATTATCACAGTCACTAATCTGTGTTTCTCTTCCTGCCTTAGACATCCTTGCCGCTGCAGCAGCTGCCACTGCAGAATCGATCTGTCGTTGTTTGGATAAACGTTTTTTTTAACTATTCCACTGTATGTCTTGTCGGAATTCTGGGTCCTACTTTCTGAGCCATTACAGTGGATCTGTCGGGATACTGCAGAACCTGAAGTTTTCTATTTTCTTTTCTTTTAAAGCTCTTTTAAACTAACTAAATTGATATTTTCTTCAGGTGTTTTGTCCATAGTTTGATCACTTGGATTGCAAAGTGGTCATCCACTGTACTTACCTTGCTTTAGATTATCCTGGTCATGTTGGTACCGCTCCATCAGAGTGTTAGTCTGTGCAGGACGTAGAGGGGGATAAAGGATTTCATTGAGCCTCGGGTCTCTCTGCTTGTTGTTGATGAACTCGGTCATCTGATCCACAGACATTCTGCCACTTTCGCCTCCTCTGCAGAAACGAGCAGCGTAGGATTAGCACACGGACCACAATGAGTGAGACAACCCAAAACTAGAATGCTGAATGGGAATTCATAGAGTGTGCTCATGTCACACTTTAATACTAAAATGTGGTTTCCTTTCAAATCTTATATACATAAAATGCTGTTCTGGAAACATTGCTGATGCTTCTTGCAAAACCTTTAAAGCCAAATATTACTTCAAGAAGAAGATTTCAGCCTTTTTGTTTTGCTTATATGCATTTATCTTCTACTGATTATCCTTAACTCTTGTTAAGGTAAATGAAAAGCATCCTTATTAAAACTAAACCATAAGAAATGTAAGAGTATCTAGACTAAAAAGGTGAAAAAATCCTGATAATCACCAATACGAGAATGTTTTAAATGACAGTTTTCAGATACTGTTGTAAAAAAAAAAAAAAATTAGTCTAAATCAAACATCAATAACTGTTAACATCCTTTTTCTTTATGGAGTGAATTTGGTTAAATTAATGTTGAAAGAAAATTAGATGTCTTTTAAATTGAAATATGAAAAAACAGATTTTATATAAAAAATATATTTTTTTTATATATATATAAAATATAAATATATAAAAATTTGAAAGAAAAAAGCAATCCAGTAACTTTGCCACATTATCTTTTTTATATTAATCTTTTTAAATTTTAGTTAAAAAATATAGTTTATGAATTTTATATTTTTTAACTAAAATTTTTTAGATTTTAATAATAATAAAAAAAAAATGTATGTGCTTTTTTTTAGTTTGGGTTTTCCAGATAGAGATCTTTCATTCTTTTTAAATATTTTTTTTAACAGATCTCTTCCTTCACTTCTGGGGTGGGCTTTCCTCTTGCCACAGCCACAGTAATGTGCTCATCAAGAGCCATAAATTGGTTTAGTGGAAAGACTGCAGTGTGTCAAAATCATAATAAACAGAAATTTGCAACAAGGAAAATTTGCATTTTGTCGCAAATAGAGAAAAATAAAAAATAAAATGTAGAAAATGTTCTGAGAAAATAACAATTAAAAATGTGTTTTTTTATTTTCATTTATAAAACCGTATCCTTTGCTTGCAACAAAGAAGGAACAACATTCAATCAGAATTCTTTAAAATCATCTTTTAAAGTATGTAGAGTATTTTGGTCAGATGTCAAAGGCTACAGCTTTGAACATGACAGATATGAGGCAGTAAAAATGTTCCTACTGCAGTTTGAAGATAGCGCTGAGCTCAGGACGAGGACACAGGCTGTCCAAGAAGTTCTTGTAAACATCAAGAGTGAAGTCCTCCAGTTTGATGCTTTCACCCTGATAAAGAAACAGGAGAGGAGGTGAAATTGCATTTTCACAGGTGACACAGCGAGAGTCTGATTTTTATATCTGTGGGTGTTTTCTCTTTTGTCGCTTCTGTATTTGTATTCATTTACTTTCTTTATTATCGTCATTAATGTATCTGTTCTTAGTTTGTGTTGAGTTTTTTATTCTATATTACTCTAAACTATTTTACAGTTTGTGGTATTTTTTGGTGTAGTAAGTCCTTTTTATGTTTTGATGTGGCTCCCTCTGTTTTTCTCCCTCTCTGTTATCAATCTTACTTCAGTTTTACCTGATCTGTTTTTTTCCAACGACATTCATACCCTGTGGTTCTCATGCCACTCCACCAGACCTTCAGCTCTTAAAAACAATCTGTTTGTCAACCTCTTGTCATATTTCCCCTGTCCTCCCTATGTCTATTCATTATCGGTAGGCAGTTGCCTAGTATTGTCTAATACTCCTTATTCCTTATTTGTACACATTATTTATGTTTTGATAAAAATCTTTTACAAAAACTAAAATGCCAAATGTGTCTCAGCCCCCAACAGCCAGCAGCAAAACATTTCAAAACAAACGCTGCAAAGAGCAGTGTTGCCAACTTAGCGCTTTTGTCGCTATATTTAGCAACTTTTCAGACCCCTCTAGTACTTTTATTTCAAAAAAGCGCCTAGCGCCAAATCTAGAGACTTTTTTCTGCTACTGGAGACTTTGGAGACAACATCTAAAAGCAGCGAACTCTGCTCTCCAGAGCCAGTAGATTGGTAACCCCGCCTCCTGCTCTCCTCTATCTTGTCTGCTGTCATGATTCATGCAGCTATTATTTCATCCAAATGAAAAATGGAGAACAGAGAAGCAGATCATGGCTTGTCTACAGTGAAAAGAAGGACTGGGTTATTTAGGAAAACAAGAAGAAAGGGGACAAGAAGAGAGGGACAAAACCTAGAACAGATAATTGATGTCTATTCTATTAACATTTCTCTATCTGTATAATGGGTCTGTTTATGTGTTGTCTTCTCAATTCAGAGGTGCCCCTGCCTGTCTTTGCCTAGGGCCCCAAGTTTCCTAAATCTGCCCCCATTCATTATTGCCAGTTTTCCATCTGTTTGGTCCATGTTGGCTCATCTTGTATTAATTTATTAACTAATGATAAACTATTTAATAATAAAAGTCCTTCACGATCTTCTCTGCTTGCTTGCTTACTTGTCCCTCTGCATTGGGATCATTTTTCACAGGAAACATGACAGACGAGACAGGCTCCTATGCTTCAGCCTGGTGGAACTGCTGGCCCTCCTCTGTGTCCTTCAGCTACACTCTGTGTCCACCAGAGCCTCAGAAGCCTGTCGCTGCTCTCATCACCTAAACCTCCCCATATTTCCTGACCTTACTGTTATACTACACCCACTCCTGCAGCTGAGGCAGCATCCACAGTCTCACCTCAGAGTAACTGCACAGTACTCCAGGACCCAGGTCTCTCATTATTGCTCCCTAGCCTGGGTCATACCTTAGTTCCCGGAGGCCCAAGCTTCCCTTCAGATCTTCAAAGCCCGTGTGCCACCTGCTGCACCCCCCGGGCCACTTGCTGCACCCTCCAGTGAGCTGCAGTTTTGCATTACAAAGCTTGCTCTGCTCCTCAGAACCAGCCCACGCAGCCCCAGAGACTTCCCCATGTGCAGCCTCTCTCTGCTGCCTCCTTCAGAGACGCTGCTCTGCCTGCCTACGACTTCTTTACATGTGTGTCCTACTTAAACACAAATCATGACAGTTGAAGTGCTTCTGCAGTGCTTACACACATAAACAGATATTCAACATGTACACAAAGAATTGATCACAGGAGAGGAAAGTAAAAACAGATTCGTACTTTGCTTTAGAGCAAACTAAGCCTTCCCTTTGCATGCTGTTATTTGGGTTTCACAAATCAAAGCTGTGTATAAAAAATATATATTTACAATAATTCTGTCAAGGTGTGTGGATCCTTTTTCAGTTTTAACAAACAAAATAAAGGCTTCAGAAATCACTGTCTGTGTTTTAACCCTTTAAAGCCCGATCCAAGAATAAAACTAAAGAGAAAATTACTTTTTTTTAGGTTTGAAGTCCTTATTTGGCCTTTTAACAAAATATGTAGAAAGAAAAAACAGCAATACATTTTTGATATCAATAATTTATTACTATGCGATAAGTCAAGATAATTTTTTGTGTAGTCTTCTGCCCTCTGTTATCAGGTAGATCTGATTGTGTAAAATAGGATTTTGAGCAAAGTTTTTACCATTAAATTATGCAAGAGGTGTCAGACGCAAAACATTTCAGAAACCGTATGTATCAAATATGATGCATTTGGCATTATAGGGTTAAAGAATACTGCGGATCCAGACATTTGAATTGAGAAAGCTTCCTGGAGAGGTGGCGAAACGTCTTCAAATCTTGAAAACCAAGTCCAGTGGATATTTTTTGAATTTTTACAGGATGGTTAAAGAATCATACAGCGGCATGGTCAGCAGGTTTATCAATGGATGTTTTCATGCCCAAAACTGCAATGAAATCCCTCAGTGCTACTTTCCTAAATCTCAATTTGTGTTAAAAAAAAAAATTAAAAATCTGTTTTTACAAATTCTAAGTATTCTGTTTGGCACTGTCACTCACCACCATTCCTGTTATTTTTCTAACATTACATACAACAGGGTGTTGCAGTGGGTAGCACTGCTGCCTTGCAGCAAGAAGGTTTTTGCATGGAGTTTTGCATGTTCTCCCTGTGCATGTGTGGGTTCTCTCTGGGTACTCCGGCTTCCTGCCACAGTCCAAAAACATGACTGTTAGGTTAATTGGCTTCTCTAAATTCTCCTTAGGTGTGAGTGAATGGTTGTTTGTCCGGTTTGTCTCTGTGTTTCCCTGCGATGGACTGGCGACCTGTTCAGGGTGTACCCCTCTTCTCACCCCTTGACAGCTGGAGATAGGCATCCCTCGCGACCCAAGCAGAGGATAAGCGTGATGGAAAATGGATGGATGGATGGACATTCAACAAATCTACGTTTTTATTTTCATTCCGATTCCGATGCTTGAATGTTTAAATCTGCAGATGTTGATGATTTCTGATTCTTAACCTCTGCTTGCTTAAATCTTAACATAATTATGTTTGATTTTTTTCCTAAACTCCTTCCTAAAAGTACAATACGATATAACAGAAAAGGAAGTCATTAAAATGGTTCCCTCTTCAACAATTGGCTCGTAACATGCGGTTTAATGTCTAAAATTATGTCAAATAGACCGTTTTCTGCAAATTCTGGTATTTTGAATTATAACAATGAAGAGAAAACATGTTTTCGAAATAACATTTAAACTTAAACTTTTAAAATCAAGCTTAACATTAGTAATACATAAAGTTTAGGAAAGGATAAAGAAGTTACTGAGCTGAGTAACGAGGATTCTTAGCTCAATAAAGACTAGCAGTGCACTCCTAAGAAAATCCCTTTAGTAAAAGTAAAAAGTACAATAAAATACAATTACTCCCAAAAGTACATTTTTCCTCCAAAAAGTTACTGAAGTAAAGGTAACTGGGTAAATTCAGTTCAGTTCAGTTCAGTTTATTTATATAGCCAATTCACAAGGCCCTTAACAATTCAAATATATCATCCAATCAAATTGTTTCAAAATTTTTCTATCTAGGGAAAACCAGTTGATTGCATCGACTCATTGACTCTAAGGCAATCCCTCACACTAATGCTGTAGCGACAGTGGAGAGGAAAAACTCCCTTTTAACAGGAAGAAACCTCCAGCAGAACCAGGCTCAGTGTGAAGTCGACTGGGGTTCAAGTTCAAGGAGACAGGAGCAGACATAGAAAAAGAGTCAGAGATACAAAAAGCAGCTGTAAAAGGCGGCCCCATCCAGGAAACACACAGCCAGGCAGACGAGCTCCGAGCCAGCTCCCATGTCAGAGGACGAAGAGAGCACATCCAGCCAGTCACACCCAGAGAAACAGGACTACACTGACATAAATGTAAGCAGTTACTACCCACCTCTGCTTAATAGAAGAATTGGATTTGTAATGTAATTTTTATTTTTCCAATGGAGATTGAAGCTATTCAGAATCAAACAAATATTCCAAATTGGTCCAAAACTTTTTTTTTTTTTTTTTGTCTCCATAATGTCAGACACAGACTTGGTTTAGAAAAACAGATTTTTTAAGGGCATTAATAATTTCAGGCTCAACTCTGGTTCAACTCTAGCTTGTGTATACCAGCTCTGCTCTTAATGTTCAGCGTCACCTTTATCCGCTGTTAACCGGAGCTCTCTGGGATCTAATCTTTAGCTCACCCGTCCATTCGGCAGCTTGCAGCTCTCAAGAGCATTCTCGATTCTCTTTCTGTCCGATGAAAACAGGCGACCGATACTGCAAGAGGAAAAGACACGCCATCATTTAGAAACGCTAACTACACAATGCTAATATGCTGGTGAAGATTCTCGGTCATCCAGGTCACAGTCATTCCAAAAAGGTTAAAAAACAATCCACTGGAATTTGTTTCCAAGTTAGAAGGCATATTGTTTCCCATCCAGGAAGGTTTTTCAATTCAAAATGTCAGAAATAGCGTGGATTCAAGGTTTTATACATGAGCCCAACAAAGACTTGTTTTGGTTTAGAAAACATGCAAATTGAAACAGGCCATCAGGTCCACCCCTTTGGAATAGGGGTCGTTTAGCTTCATTGTTAGCCCGCAATGCTAAGCCAAATGACCCCCATTCCAAAGGGGTGGACCTTTATGTAAGCCTACGTGATTTAAATCTTCACAGATAAATTATTTCTATCCTTTGAATTCCCAGATCTCTTTGCTTACATAGAAATTCTTCCTCATTCCTTTACTTTTCCAAGACACTAACTGACCTTAATTTGCTTCTAAAGAGCAGCCTTCCTTCATAAATGTCTAATCCACCTCTTACTCTGGTACTGTTTGATTACCAGGTCAGTGCTGAATTAGGCACCTCCATGAATAATGTCCCTGTTTTTACTTCCCCAAGTGCACATGGAATTAGGTTTATTCTTGGAGGCAAGGGACGGATAAGAGCAAAGTTTAGGTTTGTGAGTGTCTCTGCAGATTTTCTCAGGCTATTTCTTCACATCCACAAGCCTCCGTGTCTGAAAGCTGACGTTCAAACAGAGCCACTGTCTGGAATGAGGAATGAAATCATAACACTCTTACTTTTTTACAGGAATCTTTCCTTCTGCATTTGGCTGAAGCGTTAGCTTGACGTATCTGAAACAGAGAAAATGACCTGTATTAAAATTACACAGCTTTCTTCAAATTCTTACTTTCACATAAGCTGTTGGGATTTATTTGTAGGACACTCATCAAACCAATCTCTCTCTATGAGTGAACTGTGCTAATAAAGTGACCTGATATGACATATGTTGTGAATTAGCATTATATCAATAAAACGGAACTGAATAGCTTTTTATGAGATTTGTTATCAAAAATTGCATATTTATGAAGTGGGAGGAAACTGAAATATTTTTTTTTTACATATAGAAACGTAAAACTGGCTGGATGTGCTCTCTTCATCCTCTGACATGGGAGCAGGCTCGGCTCTCGTCTGCCTGGCTCTGTGTTTCGTGGACGGGGCCTAGCCTCGTGAGACCATCCTGATCTCGCTAGCTTTCAAGATTTCACTCGCTAATCAGTCTGGAGACTCTCTGTTAAGAAAATTTGGAGCCGTTCACCAAACGAACGTCCAATCAGCGTTGGCTTTGAGGCGGGTTGAGGTGTGACGCAACGAGAAGCGCGACAGTTCAGTCTAAAGAACATGGCGGCTTCAGCCGATGAAACTAGCGTTAGCGTTAGCGTGGCTATCGAGCAAGTTTTATCGGAGTATTTCTTCACTGAAAGAAGAGCAAAACACTGCTCTGGAGGCTTTTCTCACAGGAAAAGATGTTTTTGCTCTTCTCCCGACTGGTTTCGGCAAGAGTAGCCTGGCTGTTAGTACGTCATATGCTTCGTTGATCTGATTGGTTTATTTGGCCCGTCTATCACCAACATAGGCCAATCAGCTAACCAGTATTTTCGCCCCTTCCCAAAATTACTTCAACCGAAGGTTTCCAGATGGATATGCGGAGCAAATCCAGCTGGCGGAGTCAGGTTAGACGGGGCAGCCTTTTACAGCTGCTTTTTTATCTCTGCTTCTGTCTCCTTGAACCCCAGTCGGCCTCAGCAGATGGCCGCTCACACTGAGCCTGGTTCTGCTGGAGGTTTCTTCCTGTTAAAAGGGAGTTTTTCCTCTCCACTGTCGCTACAAGCATGCTTAGTGTGAGGGATTGCCTTCGAGTCAATGAGTCGATGCAATCAGCTGGTTTTCCTTAGATATAAAACTTTGAATCAATCTGACTGGGTGATCTGGTGAACTGGAAAGTGCCTTGAGATGGCGTGTGTGAATTGGCGCTATAGAAATAAACTGAATTAAATTGAATTAAAACTTTTACCTTGCTCTAGTATTCAGCTTCCCCAACTCGATACCTGCTAGGATCACCGTTCGCTGCAATCACAGCTAAAATTACGAGGTTGCAATTCTGCCAAAGTGCACATGTGTGCATAGTATTAAATACCCATGGAAGGAGCTTTATTTAAAAAAATGTATTCTCCACATGCTTTTTATTCACTAACGATGCACAGGTTCTGGAGTTTGCGAAATGCAAAACTACTAGCTGCCATTATTCTGAATTTTTTTTGCTTTCATTTTTGTTTGTCTTAGTTATGAAAAATATATGCATATGGTAATTTCTTTGTGTTTATTATTGTTAGGAAACTATTGCTATATAGGTTTTATTTTCCTTCACATTTAATTTCTCACTTGATACTTTTCTATTGCCCTGTATATTTTGGCTCACTCTCTAACATCAGGGTAATTATATTTTTTTCCTCTTGGTGCCTATTTGATTTTTTTCTACTTCAGTTCGTCCTGATTTTATTCATGCACCTTTCTTTAGACTTGCTGCTTTGCTCTCCTCCACAGCTGGTCCAAACCCCCTGTTTAACTAACCCACACTGTCATTCTCCACTCTCCCCTCAGTATTCTAACCAGTGTTGGGCACGTTACTTTGAAAAAGTAATTAGTTATAGTTACTAGTTACTTCTCCCAAAAAGTAACTGAGTTACTAACTGAGTTACTCCACAATAAAAGTAACTAGTTACTAGTAAAAGTAACTATTGCGTTACTTTTGAGTTTCTCGCCCCCGTAAACCTCACCACCCAGCCCCCACCTTCTCGCCGTGTGTTTCCAAAGCCAGCTGAATAGAGCGGACGACAAAGACAAGAACCTGCAGAGAGTTTAGCATTTATTGCAACTCAACGTAAATGACATCAGGGGGGAACGCCATGTGAAGTTTTATAACAGGACATTCAGATCCGGTGAGTATATGAAATTAATAACTGGGGATGTCTAATTCTGCAATCCTGTGTGTTTGGGTTGTTATAGATACTGCAACATCTATCTATCTATCTATCTATCTATCTATCTATCTATCTATCTATCTATCTATCTATCTATCTATCTATCTATCTATCTATCTATCTATCTATCTATCTATCTATCTATCTATCTATCTATCTATCTAGATCTATACTCTGTGTGTGACATAAAATATGGATCTCCACCCCTGCCACAAAGGCCATCAAATAATGTTTAAAATAAAAAAAACAGTAGGTTGAGAAGGCAGAGTATCCATCCATCCATCCATCCATCCATCCATTCATCCATCCATCCAACCATCCATCCAGATTTCTCCCTTTCTCCATATAGGCTATCATTTCTGGCTGTTGTCAGGTTAATCATTTGATCGTTCCCGCTCTCCATAGTTCTCCTGTAGCGCGAGCACAGGGCGACTGTTGCGCGCCTTTAGCGAGCATGCTCGTTTCCTGTCGCTTGCGCGGTGACTCTTGCCGCCTGCGCTGTGTGGAGATGCAGAGGAAACCGTTATGTGATGGGGAAACGCAGCTCTACGTAACACCGGTATTTCCATGTGGAAAACGCTGTTTTGCTGCTGGATCCTCCTGACTCTCCATCTCTCTGTGTGTGCTGTACGTTAACACCCGCCAGCAGAAACACCCACCTATTCAACTGACAGACGGAATCTCACTATTCATCAGCCATTCTCATCCTCCCCTCTCAGGACAAGGCGCGCACCTCTGGATGACCTAAAATAAATCTTTAATATCTCTTAAACAAAAGTAGCACAAACAATATTTTTTTCTGCACAAATCTGCACTAACGTTGCACTAACCATTCAGTCTATTTGCAGAGTTTTTTGACGTGGGTGGGGTGTCAGCTTCACGCAGCTGCGCACGAGTCCTATCATGAAAAAAGGTTCATTGTGCGACCTGAGTAACGCGCAGTAACGGGGTGCCTGCAATGGTAACTGCGTTATAGTTACAGTCAAAGTAATTAGTTAGATTACTCGTTACTAAAACAAGGTAACGGCGTTAGTAACGCCGTTACTTTCAACGCCGTTAGTCCCATCACTGATTCTAACTGACTGGCTTAATGGATGTTTGCTGGTTAGAACCGTTTAGCTGCTTGTGGTCCGTGTTACATGATTAAACCCTTGCTTTTTTCTACAACTAGTCTCTCTCTTTGGGTCCTTTACTTAACGAAAAATATGACAGCTCTCCTATTAACAAACATTGTGTGCAACTGCAGGCTTTGGTGATTAATGCTCACCTTATTCTGCCTGCAGGCCTGCAGGATGCTGGATTTATTCCGGGATGAAGCCACACAGAGATGGACTGTATTTGGTTTTAAGATCATTTTTGAAATAAATTGATTGCCCTGAATTTATTTACCTTGATAAATTAAATACTAATTCATTCGTTAGCAACAATGGTAACTAAAATAGTTTTTGTAAAAGAAAGACACTGTTGGTACTTTTCAAAACGTGTTTAGTAGTTAAAAAATGCATATTGTGTCAGATTTATTCCTAACTTAAACAGTAGAAAACCTTGTTTCTTTTCATTTCACAAGAACACTCTCCTTGGTGTTGATCTGTAATCCTAGGATTGTGCTTGCAGTGTAACAACGTGTGGGGAGGTGCAGTGAAGACATTTGTAAGATAAATGCAGGTTTTCAAAAATGCAAAATGTTTCTGTTAATTTAGGTTCAGTTATGGGCAGCAGCCTGTGGGGAATTTAAACACTTACAAAGTCAGCTTCCAACACAAATTGCTGGATGGTGAAAGTACCTAACTTTTAAATTATTAAAGCTGAGAAAAAACAGGGCAAGCTCAAATAAAAAGGAAGTAGATAAAGGACCAAATTCTTTAAAAATAAAGTGGCTGAAATATCTAGAGTATAGAGAGTTCTAGTTTATGATTGCAGATTATTTTACCAAGAGGTTCTCCTATGTACTGAGATCAGAGGACGATTATTAGATGACTTTGTCATTCCTGTCGTTTTCATGATGCTTTGTGCCTTTTTAAAGGAAAAGTTCGGTCATATTTAGAATTTAAACTTCTGAAACTACTTTAAATTAAAATGAAATTATTACATCCTGTTCAATAAATGATAAGTTTTTAATTCAGAGTAATTTTCATTTGAATGTTCTTTACTGGAGGCGTCCATGTTTGTCAAAGAACTACTGCCACCTACTGGTTTGTGACGTCACGGTGCGGTATCGGCTGTTGAGCAAGTCCCAATACTGTTTTTGTTTTGAAAACA